CCTAAATACTTTTAGGTGGAAGACTATAATAGAAAGTTGAATAACTATATTGAATCTGAAGTGAGAAACTAAACAACTACATGAATGATATATTTCTTCTAGTAAATTATGATTCACCCTGATAACTGAAACAATATTTTTGAAGAATAGGCCGCAAATGTAAATAAAAAACAGAAAAATGAAAAACTCTGGACAAGTAAAAAATTCAGGGCAAATGAGAAAATTTCATTGTTTAGAAGAGATAAGTACAAGTGAAGAGTAGTGGCTAACATCACTTAACCACAAATCATAATTAATATGTAGATGTGTGTGCATGTGGACGTATGCATAAGAGAGAGGCTCTGTTTGGGGCAGCTTATTCGCTGCGGTGGCGTTTTGAAAATGTCTTTTCACCGTTTGAAAACTACATTCGAGCAGCTTATCCGAAAACGTAGTTGGTTCTTTACACTAAACGCGGAACGCGGGTTAAACCCCGTGGTCTGCATTTACAAATAAACGGTTTATCTGGATAAGCACAAGCTGCCTCAAAAGCACCTTAATAAGATCGAATTGGCCCAATCTCCATGTAACATCATAGATTCCTTACATTTTTTTTTTCATAATTTAAGTTACATGGCATATGTCGCACAACAAGCTTTTCATTCCAAGCATGATAAAATCTGGGACACATGCTCTAAAAATCTTCACATTAATGCAATTTAAAAAATAAAGCATGTAAAATAAGAATCCAATCTTTTACAAAATATTCTACAAATCTTCCACACACGATCAACAACGAGCACCAACTAAGTCCAAGCAATGCGTTAACTTGACAATAGAGAATGGCTTGGTTATCATACCAGCATAATTATTGTTTGTGCTGACTTTGCTCACAATAATAAAATCATGAGCAATGATTTCATGCACAAAATGATATTGAATATCAATGTGCTTTTACCTCTTATGACATTTGAATTTTGTTGAGAAAAATAATACTCTGGTTATCCCATAAAACGGTGTTAATTTACACGTCGTTATTGAGTTGCCAAACATCCCCTTCAATCAAATGACTTTATTATAAGCCTCAATAACAGGCACGTACTTAACCTCTTCAGCTGATAGCATAACCAACGACAATAAAAATATACCCCGTAAGCAATCTTTTCTCAAGATCTATAGCAAAATTAAATCAACATAACCAATTAATCTACCATTAATTCTCCCAAACTGCAAACAAATACAGCATTTGGAAATCCACTAAATTGCCCTTCGAACTTCCTTGCAAGGTACCATGTTATGTATGCAAAATTCATTGCTTGCATATAATAGATATAGACGTAAATAAAGTATAGCATATATGAGAGGCCTCACCATACTAAAACATATAGCATATGACATATAATCAACATCATCACATCTAATTGTGAAGATAGTGCATATGAGAGTCATCTTAAACTTCTTACTAAGATGTGATTTCTTATCCATTCTTATTCTAAGCTACCATTAACAAAACATCAATATCTGAAAGTAATTGAACATATGATTTATCGTCACTTTTTTAAAAGTAAACATGTCTATCATCATTATTTCTATTTGAATCATGAGTATTTGTCGGGGAGACTGTTTCAAATCATAAAGATAGTTTTTCAGCAAGCAAAATCTTTCTTTCTAGAGGCTATAAAACCCTCTATTGAATGTAGATGTCCTCCTTAAGTTTTCTATGTAAAAATGTTGTTTTCAAATCCAAATATTCAAGTCCAAAATCATGTGTGGCCATAATACCAATCAAAACTTGAAATGAATTACACTTCACTATTAGAGAAAATATATCTATGAAGTCACTCTTGAAACTTAGGCTTTGTTTGAGAGAGATTCTTCTTTCATAAAATCTCCTTTAAAAATATATTTAAAATAAATAGCGATATAAAATTATAGCTACTAAAATTAATAACTCTTAGATGGTCCAACTATGTTCCACGAGTCATTCTTACAAAAAGATTTTATCTGCCCCTAACATGGCAATCATCTATCTGTCATAATCAATAAAATTATTTATCTCGAAATAGATAGAAGATTCTTCATTAGAATCAAAACCTACAGCTACATTCAAAGCACAAGAAATCAAATCAACTTACCCATGCCTTTGGAAAGCTCTAATATTTATTAGCTTATATTTTGCAATATAACTTCGAGGTGGTGTTGATGGTGATTGTGGCACTGGTGAGGGAGTAGCACACTCTATACCACTGACCTAAACTGAGATGTAGACCTCGGTATACATCTGACCGAATTTGAAGCTCCACCTGTTTAATTTATTACTATTGAATTGCCTCACAAGAATCTTTTAGAGGTAAATCATGAAGCAAGACAACTTCCTCATAAATAACATCAATGTTGAATATGATCTTTCTATTTTTTAAATACTATAACTTATATCCATTCACCCCATGATTACAGCCAACAAAAAATACAGCGAATAAATCTAGGTTTTAGCTTTCTATTATCAACATAAGCATAAGCAGGACATTCAAATATCTTCAGATCAACATAATTTGCAGGAGTCTCAAACCATACCTTTTATAGACTTTTTATACCTAGCAGTTGACAAAAAATTTAGCAATAGAGACTTCATCAACCCAAAAAGATCTATGTAAACAGGAATTAAAAAAATATATAGCATACTTTCTCCATCAAAGTTCACTTCATTCACTCTACATCACTCTCTGGCAGTGTATGAAGAATGGTTAAGCGTCTCACTATCCCATCTAGCTTATATAGAGTATTAAACCCGGTAGAGCAAAACTCCCAGCCATTACTAGTGCAGAGATGTGTAACTTGCTTCTGTGTATTCTTCTCAATCATAGCCTTTCACTTATTGAATGTAGTTAAAATATCACTCTTTTGCTTCAGAAAAAAAAAATAATAAATAACAATAGTCAACATGCAAACAACACCTCCCCTAAAAAGCACCTTGAATGGTCCCCAAAAATTAGATTGTATATGGTCGAGTGTTCTCTTTGTACTATGAATGCTTTTCCAAATCTGAATATATCCAGCTTCCAAAAAAATACAGTCCTTGCAGATCTTTAATTTACTAATATTCTATCGGCCAATAAATCCTCTCCTAATCAATTCAACCAAACTATTCTAACACATATGCCCAAGATGCATATGTCAAAGACGAGTAAAATCATCATCAGATAGGAAGCAAATACAACTCCATCACCTATAACCATACAAACTTGTAAGATATATAATTTGATTGATTTTTTTTGTCATCTCATCACAAAAACAGCACCGCTGCTAACCTTTAAGAATCCATCATGTACTTTTACTCTTTTGAATTAAGAATTCTCAAAGAGAAAAAATTTTCCCTTCAAATCAACAATGTCTCGCACATTACCTAATATTTTTACAATTTCATCAAACATTTTAATTTTGATTATACCAATGCCAGCTTTTTTGCAAAAAATATCATTTCATGTCATGTCAACACATCACCTGTAGTCATAGTTTCATATGTAAAAAATCAATCCCTATAAAAACAAATGTAAAGTGTGCAACCAAAATAAAAAATTCAATCCTCATAATGTTTAAACTCGCTATCATAAGCAACTAGGAGTTTTCCACACTTCTTCATATTCTACAACTAACAACATTCAGATTTGATTTCTCTCTCTTTTCTTTTTCCTATCACTAGATTTTAAGAATACACTATATTGAAAATGCAAGTAAAAATGAAGATTTGTGGCTCACATGATCTAATCGTAAGACCTTAACTACATGTGTGTGTGTGTGCGCACGCGCGCATATGCACACTCACAAAAATAATAAGAGATTCATGACAATCCAATTTCTTTTTTGCCGCCACAAATCCCCACAAAATTTTCTTATGATTCAAGTTACACCATATACATCAAACCACAATCTTATTGGTTCAAGTCCAACAAAATTCAGGTGGCCAAACAAGCCAATCAATTAACTCATGATTTATAAGCCAATCAGTTCACCAGTTAGAGAAAAAAAAAATACATACCATCATTCCTTCTTCTTCCCAGCAATATTAGAAGCCAAATCTCTGAAAAATTTCACTGATTTGGTGACAGGTGAATTTGCAGCCATCAAATTATACAGAACATTCTCCACCTCACCGATTTCAGGACGCCTCTTGAACCTTGAAACTACCTGCAACTCCCCCTTCTTCTTCCCCTCATCCTCCACCATAACCACCCACCCCTCCCCCATCATTCCCTCATCCTTCACCCACTTGAAAACCACCCCTTTCCGCCTACTCAGTACCCCTCTCACCTCCAACCCCATGAAAGAGTAAACCACATCAAAAGACCCAATGAAGCTCCTCAGCTGCACATCAAAGCCCTTCTCCTCCTCAAACCCCCATTTAGGGTTAAACAACACTACAGGTTTCGGGCTCAAACAGTCAGCGAGCACTCTAATATCCTCTAACATCGATGCTTCCGACGCCAAGAAAACTGCTATATCGGCAGAGTTCAGTAATTCATTGCTGGCAGAAGGGATATCGGAATGGAATATAAAATTTGACGACGGGAAAGCACGGCGAGCGGGGTCGAGGAGAGCGGAAGATGACCAGAAGAGCAAGAGATTGGGACTTGAGCCTTTCTTAGTGACTGGCAAGGAAGAGAAGAGATCGGCGGCGAGGGAGGTGAGTGAGGACGGGGAATCGTCGTCTGCTATGGGAATTTCAACCCGAAAACGGGGTTGGCGCTGCTTCTTGAGCTTGCGCGTGGGAAGGGGAAGAGGGTTATTTAGGGGTTTTCGGAGAGAGGAGGAGAGGCAGGACTTGGCTTGCGAGATAGCTTCTTCTTTTGAGGAAGGAGGAGACAGAGAGCATGAGATGGAGAGGATTTTGGTGAGGTTTTGGTGAAGAGAAGTTGAAGGAAGTGGGAGAGCAGTAGGGAATTTGAGAGTGTTGGGTTTGGGGAGGAGGTTGAGGGGATTGGACGCCATTGTTGTTTCGCAAGTAGTCACCTTTTCATGAAATGAAGTGGGGAGAGTATAAAAATTAATAAAGACAAAAACAAAAAAAAAGGGAGAGAAAATATTAGGTAAGATGGTGTGCGAGTATAAAAATTAATAAAGACAAAAACAAAAAAAAAAAAAGGAGAGAAAATATTAGATAAGATGGTATGCAGATTAATAATATTTTGGTATTATTGATGCGGTATTGTTGTGCAATATCATCACAAATACCACAAGAGTATTACAATATGTGCTTCTACATTGTCCTGTTACATTATTTTCTATTGAAAAAAACACTAAATGAGAGCTCAATAACAAATGGGAATATGAAAACAACAAATAAACTCAGGGCTTAGTAAAGAGGTTTTCCAAGACATCTGGTGGCGTCCCGTTATGGTTGGAGATCCTCATTGCTCCAATCAAAATAACAATCACATAAGGAATGATAGTGTTCATATCTTTTAAAGTGCGAAGTCTCATAATGTCCGCAGATTATACTCAAATCCCACTATCATTAAAGAGATGAGGGAGAAAAAGTGAGAGGAGGTGGAGTAAAGAAAAATAGAAACCCTCCTATTTTTATATTTGACCCATATTTATACGGACTGGGTCTTTGTTTGTCATGATATAAAAATAAAAATATACAAAGATACATAATATGTTGTATTACATTATATAACTGTTTATCATGTTTTGCAATTTTGTAATATGTCTGACTGTTTTATGTCATGTCATTCCATGTAGTTGAATTTGACAGTTTCTTAATTTGTAAATTCAATATTCAATAATTTGGTAGTTCAAAAATTTGACAATTTAACAAATAGCAACTCAGAAGATATTTTAAAGTGTATACAGACAATCTTAAATAAGTTTTAGCAGCAAAACCAATTGTTGTTTGTATTCTCTATGATGAATTATTTCTTCTCTGGTTTTTAATCATTGCAATGGGAGATTCTTTTTATTGTAATATGTTGCTTTAATCTGAGGACCAAGTTTCAGTATATTTTACCAAATCTTTAGTTTCCCAAAAAGTTCTCATGACTGAAATATCTTGATTTAAAGTATTTTTTTTAATTTAACTTAATTGATCTTTTTTTTTATTTAATTCATATGTAAATAAAGAAAAATACGAAGGAACACCATAAAAATATTATGCTTTAAAGGCATGCAATTGCATTTTAGAATTAATTTTAAATTGTGTGAATTATTAAAGTTGATTATTTGTTCAAATGGATTCAATTCAGGCGAATTAAAGATGAAGTGAAAACTAACTACATTGATATTATAATTCACTCATTCCCCTTTGTACATGGGCATTTTATTATAAAATATACATAATAATAATTACATTTAGCTCTTTAGGAGTTTCAGGCTATATCTCTCCTAGACCGAGAGAAGGAGGCCGACTAGAGAAAGTCAAGTGGTGGGGGCTGACTGACAGGGGTCGACTGGGGAGGGCCAACTGGGGAGAACCGACTAGAGAGATCAAATTGCTAAGAGTTGACTGGAGAAGACTGACTAGTGAGGGCTTACTAGAAAGGGCCAACCGCTGAGGGCCGACTAATGATAGTCGGTTGACCGACTTGTGAGAGCTAAGCCAAATGGCGATTGACAGAGTTCAGCAGTTTCTATGGACAATTTTAACATCTTAAATTGTGAATGAGGATTTTAATCATATAGACTAATTATTCAAACTTTGAATGTAACCCTAACTACTTAAGATGGCACTCTCTTGTGAGTTACTTGAAAGAACTCAAGCACAAATATTTAAACAAATAATGAACTTTCTTACCAATAATGAATTATGGCCCCACAAAGAGTATTAAGTGATTCTTCATCAATTATTTATGCTTAGGATTCTTTATTATTATTTCCAATTATGTATTGAATCTGTTTTTATATTACTGCAAAATAATATAGAAGAAAATAATGATTCCATGTGGATAAAATGTTAAATTATGCTAAATCTCCCTACTAACAGAGTATTATATAAATTGATTGATGCAATAGAATTATAACACCTAAAATAGTTTATCAATGAGAAAAATAATTATGTAAAATCTATTGCTTCATATATATGCATATCATCTTAATAAATTACATTCAACCACAATAATGAGCATATATCGAACATGAAACTAAGATATAAAAATATAGATCGGTTCCCCTTACCAACTTTAAGTAACACACGTGCCTTTTTCCGATAAAAGTCATAGTACTAATGATAAAAAAATCGGTGTGTATTCAATTGTTTAACAAAAAAAAATATGCCAGATTTAATATCTTAGAAGGAAGAACTAGCATAGATGACCGACCCAACATCTATGACCGATCAAACCTGGATGACTGACCCGATGGGACGACCGACCCAGTATAGAAAACCAACCCAGAATCTATGACCGACCAAACCTGGATGACTGACCCGATAGGACGACCGACCCAACCTGAATGACATAGCTTTGATGACCGATCCAACTCGGAGGACCAACCTAGTTTTGCCGACCAAGTTAACTTTGTTCGCTCGAAGCAAATTAAGCCAGAAAGAAGCAAGGCGACAAGCCCATACACGTAAAATATCATAATTACTCTAGTACAATCCCCTTTAAAAAAACAATATGTGATATCATCATTATGTGCCCACTCCTTTATAAATAGAATGATTATTTTATGAACAAGGCATGATTAATCATGACAGATTACTATTTATTCTCTAACTTTTCATCTCTCTCTCTACTCTCTTTACTTACGCTTTATTTCTTTTGTGTGATTTACATATATAGTTGTAAATGAACCAATACACTCGATGAACAACTCGAACTCGGCTCAGTATTCGTTCAAATTAGTAAATAAATAATCTTGAATAATTTATAAAAGCTCGAAACTTAAATGAACTAAACGTGAACATAGTCAAATTTATTCATTTATGTTCACAAACAAACTGTTTGATGTTTAACAAGTAATGTGTTAAAAATCAATATTAAGTTCGATAATAGCTCATATGATATATGATAATTATTTAAATGAAATTTAATTAAATAGAATATTAATTTGTTGGTGATAGCTCGTATCATATATGTTGTATAAATACTTGATATTAAGTTTTTGTAGGTTTTAGGATTTAGGTTAAATCATGCCTAAATGATACACAAACTATTCTACTAAACTTCGCCTAAGCAAGGGATTTTGGGCAAAATGGAGGAGAAACAAGATTTAAGATACTATAGAGTTTAGAGCTTATAATCAATAAATTAATAGATGCAATCAAATTTGTAAAATTATTTATTGAATTCATTATATGAAAATCTTATTGCTTATTTGAATTTTTAGTTCATTCATTAGCTTGTTTAAATACTCATTCACTTGTCATAAAGAAATGAATTACAAATCATGTCCAAACATTGAAAAGTTTAAACAAATCAAGTTTGAACAATATATGAAAGCTTGACACAAGCTCAAACTCAACATAAACAACTTATATTTATACCAAGCCAAGTCCGAACAATGATATACTCGGCTAGATTACAATCCTATTTATGGACAAATAGTAATTCAACATTCTAAAAAGTGGGATGATCAAGTATCACGCCACCAACAAGAAGAGGAGCAGCATAAGGAGAAGAACCCAGGATTAAGTTTGACCCGGTTAGCTCCAATTATGTCAAGTCAGGTCATAACCGACCCAGTTTAGACGATAGACCTACAGGGAGGATTGGTCCGAAATGGGAGACCGACCTAGTTCAGACGATCGAGTTAACCTTGCTGACACCTGGCCTCCCTTATTCTGTCACATCTACTTGGTTACCTCCACTTAGTTGCAAGCATGTGGCTAAAAAAATAACTAGAAAATATGACTATCGATGACACTTCAGGGAAATGCTCTTATACCCCTCATTTTTCCATATATTTTTTTGTTAATATGCATATAAAATGTTTGCCGCAAGAACTTGGAGAACTTTCCCCTTAAGGGCAAGTTTTCAAAAAGAAAGAGGGGAGCCATCTACACCTTTGGACCCTTTTGGACTGTCCCACCCACAACGCCCATGCCCCCTAAAAGCATGTGTCTCATACTACAGAACTTTGGCGGTAGGAATCCTTGCCCCTTGGCGACAAGATCTATGGTCGATATTATATGAATCACCCCAGGGAAAGTCTATATGTTTGCCCCCATAAAGGCCACAACAATATCCGCTTAATATGTTTGGCGTAAAGTGTAGCACATCCAAGGAAATGAACTAATCAAGCCACCAAGGCATGGGTGGTGTAAGACTTAGGTTAGGCGATAGCATTCCAAACTCAAATTCGTCAGTTTTTTCAACCCCATTTAGTCACCCAGCCTTAAAACCTTTTCCAAAATCAACACTCATTCTTATTTAAATAATTTTTTTATTTGTATTTAAAGATACAAGTAATGTTAGTTTTCTTTTTATAAATCTCTTATTCTTTCTATAGTTGTCTTTGAAAGAGAGGATAGATTTGAAGAACTAAAATATGTATAATAGAAATATGTCAGACTAAATCTCTCAGAGGAATGACTTATACAAAATGACTGACCCAACGCAACCAGGATGACCCAGCTCGAATGACCAACCTCTAGCCTGGATGACCGAACCAAAGGGACGGCTGATGCAGCCTGGATGACTGACCCATAGTAGACAATTTATCCAGTCCAGACAACCGATCCAGAGATATAACTACCAAATTCACAATAATATGAGCAGCCCTCAAAGGAACCTACTCTTTTCATTAATTACATTTTGGGGGATATCTAAAAACTTATAATATTTATGAATGATTTGTATCATCTCAAGAGGGGGAATCCCAATGCTTTTGACTCTTATATCGGGCTATAAGGTCGGGCCATAGGTCAGAGGGCGAATCACAATATCCACTAGAAGCGGTGACGCCTAGGCATGCAAGGTTCATGAAACGACATCAACGATTTTTCAAGGGATCGACAGGGCTCAAACAATTACAGTTGTGTTAGGGTTATTTTTTATGGTGTT